GGGCCTAGGCGAAGGTCTTGGGATGGGGCGGGGCCGAGGTTTATGATGGGGCGGGACTTGCGAGTGGACCGGCCCCCCCCCCCTTGTGGGCGAGGTTAGGGCTGCGGCCATTGCGGCGGGGCCAGGCCCCGCGTGGGAGGGGTTAAGACTGCGGGATTTGTTATGGGGCGGGGTTAGGGCTGAGGGCTTTCTGATGGGGCGGGACATATGGCTGGACCGGCCCCCCCATGGGGGCGGGGCTAGTGCTGCAGGGACTCCAGAGCTGGTGGGACCCATATATCCTGCTTAGGAGTGAGCTGGAAACCTGTCCTGACCAATTCGGTTGACATTCCAAGGGTGTTTTTCTGTCCCTTCCTGGAATTAAAGCCTGTGTGCTCTTCTGTCCATTCATTTCTCAAATCCAGAAGCCTAGTGATTTAATTAAGGAGTTCTGGTGGCATAGCCAGTAAGACATTTGGCTGCTAGCCAGAGGGACAGCTAGTTTGAACCCACCAGCTGCTCTATGGGAGGAATATGAGGCAATCTGCTTGGGTAGAGATTTACAGCCTTGGAAACTCAATGAGGTCACTATGACTTGGAATTGACTCAATGGCAGCGAGTTTGGTTTGGTTTGAGTGGTTTAATTGTGCCAGTCTCTACCAGTTAAAGGGACCAAAGCACGTGTCAGGCACGGTGCTAGACTTTTAATCCTCTGTATCTTCCTGGGAGGACTGTGAGGGTGGCTAAGGGGCTGAGGTGCAGGTGCAGACACGCAGCCAGCCCAGAGACCAGGGTAACTTCCTCACTGGGCCCTGGGCTCAGTGGCTCTCTGGTGCGCCGCCCGGGCACTAAAATAGCTCCGCTAGGGCCTGCCATCAGCTGTGCTGCCCTGACTGGCTGGGTGCTATACCAGTGGTTCAATGCTGGACAGTGTGTGTGTGGGGGGCTGGTCCGCATCCTTTGTGCACATGGCTGAGTTCATGCAACTTTACAACCAGTCCGGAAAACCTCCTGAGAACAGGCGGTGTAGGCTGGTGAGAGCGGCCCCCCACGACCTGAGGCAGGCGGGTCCACCAGACACTGACTCGGCCCATTAGAAGGAATGTGTGGGAGGACAAAACTGCAGCTGGTGGGGTTGGGTTTTGTAGAACCAGAAGCTGAAGCCCTACTGAAGGGAACCTTTGAGAACGATAACAAAGCTGCACACAGACCTTGGGAGGGGCCCACACAGGCCAGAGGCCCTCCCGGTCTTCAGTGAAATCTGCCATCAAGAGCCAAATAGAGGGAGCATGGTGTGTGGGGGGCTATTTGTAAAGGGTGGTTAGGCAGGTCTCCCTGAGCAGATGATGAAAGAAGCAGCGGGGAAGGCTGGCCAGGCGCCTCTGTGGGCACAGCTGTGCGGGGCTGAGGTGGAAGTGGCCGGCTATCCTGGAGGAAAAGCAGGGGGCTGGGGACCACTGGGCCAAGGAGGTGCAGGAGGGGTCAAGACAGAGGGAGGCTGGAGCCAGGTCAGACAGAGCCAGGCAGACCCTTGAAAGGACTTCCGCCTTTAGAATAAAAAAACAAAGTTTAATGTGGTGAAACATACACAACAGGACATTCACCAACATAACATCTTCCCCATTTACAGCTCAGGGACATTGATGACATTTTCATGTTATGTCACCATTTTTGCTACCCTTTTCCAAAATATTCCACCACCATTAGCATAAACTCAGTGCCC